TGATTGGTTGAAAGGATGTCGCCAGGTACGTGACCGTGCGCTGCCAAGTGTATTTACTCTGATGCCCAATAGCGCTATACATAGTACACTGACTCAGTATTCACCTAGTATTCGATTTGAATGGGAGGGGGCTAATCTGGGGGTCCGCGGGATTAGTGCCTCTACAAAATTATGAATGCGAGGCAAAAAAGTGCCTTCGCGGTTCCTGAATATATTTCTGTGAAAAAACGTTCACTAGTCGAACTTTTGAGTTCGTTTATTACGATAAAAAATCTTAGTTTAGTTGCCGATGTTACTTTCCGCATGATGAGTATAGCTAGCTTTGCATGCGAACTTAGATTCCTCTAACTGAATCCCCACACAAGTTTCGTAATATTATATTTATAGCTTAAGCGAGAGTGAGCGAAACGTCACATTCATAATTTAGTGTGAATAGAAGTATCGGTGGCTTTACGGTAAAAGCGCTTGCCTCTCCTCCTACGACCCTCAGCAAAAATAAATAAATCTAAATAGTAACTGAAATTCGGAGTTGATAAAGAGCTACTCTGTAGAATTGCAACTGTTAAATCCCATTTATTATATTTCTATCCAGTTATTCATTTTATTTTTCATTTTATCTATCTTTTATGATTTAAAAAAAAAATCTTATGAATAAGCGTAGCGATGCATTCAAATTAAAAAAAAAAAAGCATTCTTAACAGCAGCTTAACCCATAATCATTCGTAACTGACACTCAAGTTAAGATTTCCGCTTATTTTTTGAAAAGCGTCAATTCCGTTCAAAGAAGATTGCATTGTTAGTGCGGATTGGGTGTAAGAAATCCGGCCCACCCACTGCCCTACCCTATAGCCTCTTTCTGTAGCACATTCCTAGTCTTCTTATTCAGCTGCAAAACAAAACAAGAAACTCGAATCTGAAGACCACCTGATCATGACTTCCTTTAAATTGAAAAACCACGGTAGCCACTACCACTATCCGCTGTTATTACTATGTCATACAGAACCTTACCTCAGCAACCCAAGTCATAGTGCATACACGTGCACTTGGCCTTTTAACGTCGTTTGCCTGATTCTGTGAAAAGCTAGCCATCTTACATGTGAGTTTTGCTATTAAATTGTCGATGCTTTTTCATAGCTCTTAATAGAAAATTTCTAGTTTATACTTTGTTTTCTTTTTACTTAAAAAAAAGAAGAAAAAGTATTGTCTAAAAAATTGCATTTCTTATTATTTTACTGACTAGATCACCATGCATCTCATCCATAACGTGCATAGATGCATATCTATTCACACAGTCAGTGGAAGGAGCTTTTGAGGATCTGATTGCGATATCGCGATCGCTTAAAAGGTATTAATCTATGTATTCTTCCATTCAGTCTCTCATCCATCCATCCATCCATCCATCCATCCATCCATCCATCCATCCATC